CCGAGAGCGAGAACTCATAAGCCAAGGAGACAGTGGAGGCAAATCGAACTTGAAGAGATTCAAGAGTCGATAGATGAAGGAACCTCTACCGCTGGCATTCAACCCGAGGAGGAAACTCCGGTTGAACCGATTGACGAATCCTTACCTCTTAGACGTTCCAATAGAGTTAGAGTTCATCCCCAGTTTTATGGTTTTCATATTACTACCGAAGGGGACACGTATATTAGTGATGGTACACTAGTAAATCTTGATGAACCTAATAGCTATAAGGAAGCCATGGCAGGCCCGGAGTCTGCGAAATGGAAAGAGCGATGGATAGCGAGATCCAATCCATGTACGATAACCAAGTTTGGAATTTGGTTGATTATGTGCCCGACGTAAGACCGTAGGGTGCAAGTGGATCTTCAAAAAGAAGACCGACGTGGATGGGAACGTACACACATATAAAGCGTGATTGGTCGCGAAGGGCTTTACTCAAACTCCCAGAGTTGACTATGATGAGACCTTCTCACCAGTTGCGAAGATTAAATCTATTAGAGTGATGCTAGCAATTGCCGCATTTCATGATTATGAGATTTGGCAAATGGATGTCAAGACCGCTTTCCTTAACGGAAAGTTGGCTGAGGATGTTTACATGGTCAGCCAGAGGGTTTGTGGATCCGAAGCATCCGAATAGAGTGTGTAAGCTTGAGAAGTCCATTTATGGACTTAAGCAAGCATCTCGCAGATGGAATCTTTGCTTCGATGAGAAAGTCAAAGAGTTTGGATTTGTACGAAGTGAAGACGAATCTTGCGTATATATCAAAGCCAGTGGGAGTATAGTAAGCTTCCTCGTTCTATATGTCGATGACATATTACTCATAGGAAACGACATCCCGACTCTGCAGGAAGTTAAGTCCTGGCTCGGGAAGTGCTTCGCTATGAAGGACCTCGGAGAGGCTTCTTACATTTTGGGAATAAGGATAGTAAGAGAAAGAAGTAAGAGACTAATTGGACTTAGTCAGAATACTTACTTGGAGAAGGTACTAAAACGTTTTAGTATGGAAAACTCAAAGAAGGGAGAACTACCGATACAAGGAAATGCCAAGTTGAGAAAGACTCAAAGTCCGAGTACCGAAGCTAAGATAGCAGAAATGAGCCGAGTACCATACGCTTCCGCAGTTGGCTCAATCATGTACGCTATGACTTGTACTCGCCCTGATGTAGCCTTCGCTTTGAGCATGGTTAGCAGATATCAAGGGAACCCTGGCAAAGCACATTGGATTGCGGTGAAGAACATCCTTAAGTACCTTCGGAGGAAGAAGGAATGGTTCTTAGTCCTTGGAGGGAGTGATGACTTGAAAGTGCGAGGGTATAGTGACGCCAGCTTTCAGACCGACAGGGACAACTACCGTTCGCAGTCGGGCTGGGTCTTTACCCTAAATGGAGGAGCACTGACTTGGAAGAGTTCCAAGCAAGAAACCGTAGCTGATTCAACGTGCGAATCAGAGTACATCGCAGCGAGCGAAGCATCGAAGGAGGCAATATGGCTAAAGAACTTCATTGGTGATCTTGGAGTTGTACCGGCCATAAAGGAGCCCATGGAGATTTTCTGTGATAACGAAGGTGCGGTTGCCTTGACCAAGGAACCGAGGGATCATGGTAGATCTCGACATATCGACAGAAAATATCACTTCATTAGACATCGTGTAGAAGAAGGACAACTCGTAGTGAAGAGGATATCATCAGAAGATAACCCAGCAGATCCGCTTACGAAGGGACTGAGTAGGGTTAAGCACTTACAGCATGCTAGGAGTATTGGGCTGAAGGATGATATTAGTATAGATTAGATAGTATTAGAAACGTATAATAGATAAATGTAATTAACATTTGATGATTAAATAAAGGAGTATTATTTATGAGTAAAGTTACTGTCACATGTTAGTTGTTTAACTATTGTTTCACTTTGCATGTTTTGACTTCCAGAATAATTAAGGTTATTAAGAATAATAGTAATTATTCAAATGGTCCACAATCATTCATATGTTGGGAGTAGATATGAATGAAGATTGTCATGAATTGGTGTGTAGAATGTCTAAATGATATTAGACATAGCAAGGGTTGCTGCAACGTTCATGAGTGCTTATGAACTGGTTTTGAGCATTGGAATAAACCCGCGCTTGCTGGAATCACCTTATGGAATATGATATAAAAGGTGATCGCAAGACGATAATATCATATAGTATTAAAACCTAGATATGTGGTTTATTATTTGTTAATTGATTGTGCATTGATAATGCGAAAACGCATCAGTAACTTGATGTTATAAAACGCATTGTTGTGTATAGTTGGTTAATGAATAAGTAAATGCATATAAGTCGAAGTTTATCTGTAAATTTTATCCTAAGAGGGTAGAAGAGATATCTTGGCCACTCGATGATTTGATTTGACTTATGTGTCGGGCCCGGTCAGAACTAAATTGATGTGTTCGATTAAGTTCTATGTCGAATAAATCGGAGATCGAGAAATTTAAATGCATGACTAACCATTCCATAGGATTGTCAGCATGATATCTAACAGAGGACTGTACGATCCCTTACCTAAAGGACAAGATTGATTAGATCAGAGTTGACAGCGTCTTTGAGAGCTACGATTGCAAACCGAATTGTATTTGTGTAGTTACTAGACTTATCCAAGTGGGAGACTGTTGGAATAGTGTCTAAGGCTATAACTATATCCGGTTGTGCATGGTCCTTTTGGGTTGCCTTCACCATAGCAACTTGAAGGATGATTTGTTAAGAGAGAGTAAATATTATAAGGAATAATATATGGCTATTTGATTAATATAAGTCATAAATTAATTGGTATTAATTTGGTGACTTAAAGAGATTAATTAAATAAGAGGGTATAAACTGTCAATTGTTTGATAGTTACACTTTAGACTATAAATCCTTATCCTAGATAGGATGGACGATTTCTAGGGCTTGGATAAGCCAAAATCGTCCAAAGGGTTATCTATGGAATGGATTTGGATAGCCTTAAGAGAAGATTATCCAATTAGGGTTTAGGTTGTAACCCTTAAGGAGTCTACAAGTATAAATAGACCCTAGGGGTGAGGGAATTCGACACACATCCTAAAGCAAGGAACCTCTGGCCGAATTCCTCCCCTCTCCTCTCTCCTAAATCATCTTGCTTGCTATTGGTGTTTGTAAGCCATTAGAGGAGTGACATTTGTGACTCTAGAAGCTCCAAGACAACAAGATCAACAAGGAATCCAAAGGTATGATTCTAGATCTGTTTCATCATTGTTATTTAACCTAATTAGCCATTAGAAGTCTTGGATTCAAAGCATGTTTAATTAGAAAGCCTAGATCCGAGCAATAGGGTTTTGCATGCGCACATAGGAAAGTTCTTATGGCTAAAACCCATCACTTGGGACTTGAATTTACTCCCCAAGAGTAAACATTTTAAGGAGTTTACAGCCATTGGACACACACATACATGAGTTTACAGCCATAAACTCATGTGGGTGTGATTTTGGGTGTTTAAATGGCTTAAATGGACATGGGGATTGTTGGAATGGATTTCTAAAATGCCTTGGAATGGATTGTATGAAACTTTTAACACTTAAATGGGAGGTTACGGCCACCCCATAAGAGTTTACGGCCGTAAACTCACCTATGGCCATGGAAAATTGATTTGAGCTACAAAGGACAATCACATGTGATTCTAGTTAATTTTCCAAGCCTTGTTATGAATTTAAAACATCATTTTACATACTTTTTGGAGTTAACGGCCTAGAGGTATGTTCTAAGGCCGTAAACTCTTCTTTACCCATGAAAAAGATAGTTTTTGATGCTTAAAACAATCACATGTGATTCTAGAAATTTATGCAAGCCATTTGAGTGTATTTGATGCATCATTAACATGGTTTTATGAGTTTACGGCCAAGGGTATGTTCCTAGGCCGTAAACTCCTATAAATGACATTTTTGATGTGTTTAAAGCCCTTAAACTATTTTTAGACGCATCTAGATTTTACCACAAGGCCATTGGTTGAGTTTCAAGGCATTTGGACATGTTTTAAAGCACTAAATCCCCATTTAAGTGGAGTTTACGGCCCAAGAATGTGCCTTGGCCGTAAACTCACTTTTGTCCTCCAAAATTCATGTTTAAAGTGTTCCAAGTCTAGATTAACAAGCCATAAGGTCATATCTAACTCCCAACTATGATTTGGAAGGGTTATTTGGCTCAAAAACCCCATGAACATGAGTTTACGGCCCAAGAATATGTCTTGGCCGTAAACTCACTTTTGTCCCTCAAAATCAATGTTTTAAATCTTATAAGTCCTTTCCATTAAGTCATTAAGCCATACTAATGTCCAACATTGCTTAGGAGGGGTTTTAGGGCTTAAAAACCCATGTTATATGAGTTTACGGCCCAAGCTTGTTCCTTGGCCGTAAACTCATGTTCTTGGTCCCAAAACATAAATTTAACATAAATTTGAAGGCTAAAAAGGTTGAATAACAAGTTAGGGGTGTTACCTCTTTGATTTCAAGCCTTAAATCTTTGTTTTGGACCTTGATTTTGGGATGAGGAGAGAGGTTGTGAGAGTTAAATGAGAAATTGACCAAAGGCTTCAAATGGAGGCTTAAACATGTTTATATAGTGTTTAAGTTTTGGACACGGTGGAATTTTACCCGATACCGGCGTTAGACGAGGCTTTTGGTCGTACCCGATTGAGTTGTCGTAACCTGATACGGTAATTTCTAGAAATATTCCGATCACTAAAATTGGGTGTTAAAATGTTTTCTAAATGTATTAAGACACCCATTAAGTCATTTTAAATACGTGCTAGTTAATGACTTAATTAAATGGAAGATCGGAAATTGAATTTGGAAACGACGATTGGTTGCGTGAATTGCACTACAAAAGAGTTACAAGAAATGATACGAAAATTTCGGGTTGTTACAGACGAACCATAAAATTATACGTAACCCCAAACCAAAAGGAAGAAGATCTATGTCAGGTGCTGTTATTTCACCACCTGAAATACTAACAAATAAAATAAAAAAAGTTTCCAGTTACAAGTAAAAAGTTTCACTGCCCTTCTCCCAAAACAGAATCTAGACCTCAGGAAACAATTAGGGGAGTCAAAAAGAGTGACAGCAATACTGGTATAATTTACATCGACTCCAAAGGTGATTTGGAGACACAAAACAGGTATTTTAAACTCGTTATTTTATCTAGATGTCTTGTTCTTTTAATCATTGAAATAAAAAGAGTTAGTTACAAGAATGGTCCTTGTGTTATATCCACTGCTGCATATTCACTCCAATGTTTTTTTTTCTGTTTCAAATTGATCCCTAACATTGGTTTTTGTTTCTGATCTGTCACTGATCCATGTAAAAGACATCTAACTATACTTTAAAATAAACAAATTATAGAAAAGTTAAAAAGAAGAGTCAAATTACATTTTTGTTCCTTGAGTATGGTTGCTTTTTGCAATTCTGGTACTAAAAGGTTTTCTTTTGCATTTTTGGTCCTTATTTGACATTCGTGTAATGTTTTTGGTCACGGTTCCAAATTAAGTGACCATTTTGGTCTATGGGTGTGATTTTTGCAATTTCGATCCCAAAAATAGCCATTTTACAAGGAATAGGCACAAAAAAAACGTTACACAAATCTTAAATAAGGACCAAATTAGCATGACAACCTTTTGGGACCAAAAATTAAAAACATCAGCTATAATTGGGGAAAAAATGCAATGTACTTTAAAAAGAAACATGTGAGGGTAGAAAATTCATTTTATCATAAAAGTTGGACTGAACCTGAAATGTTGGGAATAACACAGGGACCATTATTGTAATTACTCTATAAAAAAGAATAGAAGTTGGTAACAGATGTTTGTCTTATGTTGGGTGCAGGTTTCCATCACCACCATTTAACATATCTCATGATGACGATTTTCACTTAACCATTGTTCATGAAACCTCGAGAAATGACGATAATGCCCTTGACCATGAGCCACCTATTGTGAAGGAAACACCAATCAAGAACAGTTACCCTGATACTCTTGAATCTGTCTTTAAGTCAACCATAATCCAATCAAAGTTTCCCACTCGTTCCTTTTCTTTCCCCTGTTCCACTTCAGCTTCTGAATGCATGAACACAATAACAACACCTAAAAAACAACAAATACCTCAAAACAATTCACCTGTAGATTCAATTGTTCTATTTTTATATTAAATGCAGCAGAAGCATATTCATTGTGTTTCTTTACAATCTACAAACAGTGCAAAACTGATTGAGATAGATTGGAAACGACATAATATTACTGCATCAAGTTTCATGAGAGATGTTGTTGTGTCTATAGGGTTTTCTGAACTATTATATGAGTCAATAAAACCAGTATCTGTGGAGTCTGAGAATAATCTTGATGATGATCTGGTAAATGGTTAGGCAACAGGTCTTGCTGATGATGGCTTATGGGGAAGCAATGCTCCTGAAATGAATAGGGTGAGAAATGATATATTTCTTCAAAACATAAATAATTAGCTTTTTAAATATGACAAATATTGTAAAAAAAAAAGGAGTTTCTGTTTTCAGCTGTTTTGCAGGGTGAAAACTTTTGCTTCAATTCTGGAAGCTTTTTCCCTTGAGATGGTGACAAGGTTTAAGCCTTTCTTAAATCTCCTTGTATATCCTCATGTTTTCAGGACTTAGTTATGATAGATCATGCATACTGAGCACTGGGTACATTAGGTATATTAGGAACAACAAGGGTGACTTTATTAGCAATATATATGTTTCTTTAGTGGCTTTTAATCCTTCTGTTTCTTGACTCCATGTTTCTGGTTTCACATATTTTTTTTTCTGAATGTGTGTTGTGGATGAGTGTCCAAGATAGGTGTGATGCATGTGTTCCCCTGGTTCACTGTAGATTTTGGACTGGGGTCCTTGTCAGTACATTTGGATACCCCACAATGCATCTTATAGCAGAGGGTAAGCCATCCTTTTACAAGCTCATTAAAGATGTTATTGTTAGGAAAATGGTCTTAAAGATAAAATAATAAAGGATATTGAACATTAGAATATAAATGGAAAAATCAAAAACCAGTGAAAAAAAATCCAATATATGACAAATTATTAGTCACATCTACTTTGTTGTGTCATTTTAAAGTTTGTTTATTTGATCCCTTTCAGGGAGAAAGGAGGTTTCTTCTTTGAATGGATTAGAGTGAAGGATAATGGTAATAACAAGGAGAAACTACATTTTGAAGGTGATTTTATTTCCTAATATATCTTATCACTTACTTGCACAGTTGGCTACCCTACCCTGATGACTTGCTAACCAAGTGTTTTACATACATTCTTAAAATATCATTTGCATTTGACTCTAAAGGAAGTAGGACCATGTGTGGATAATGCTCCTGCTGATCCTACATGCTGATCCTAAAGGTGTCAAACTCGTAATTCCTAATTGTTGTGAGGAAGTAAGACCATGAGTAGATAATACTAATTTTTTGATATGAAAACAGGTATCATGTGGAAACAGAATAAGCAAGGGTGAATTTGTACAGATTAGTTAGCTACTTGCAGGTTGATCTTGAATAACCAAAGGGGAAATGGATTGTATTTTTCTGTATCTAATTCGTTTGTAAATTTTTGTTACAACTTCTATTGATTTGTTTTATCTTTCCATGGAACGATTATTTGTATGACATTAAATTTATGCAATGGATTCTATTTTTTGTATATGATATTTTATTTTCAATTATGAAACATTAAATACAAATTTAATTTGAAAATAAGTAAATCTACATATAATATTTTTTTTAAACATTTAAAATTATGATACGCAAAAATGTGTGTCATCTTCATTTATGACATGGCCTTTCTTGACAGAGGCTTTCTTGATACGCATTGCGTGTCATTAACATGCGCGTCGTAAGGTTACGACACGCATATGCGTGTCGTCTTCCTTTATGGCATGGCCTTCCTTGATACGCATTGCGTGTCGTAAACGCGCGTCGTAATTGCGCGTCGTAAATGAGCGTCGTAAATGCGCGTCGTCTATAGACGACGCGCAAAAGCGCGTCATCTATCTTTATGACAGGGCCTTCCTTGACGCGCATTTGCGCGTCGTCTGAGCCTTTTACGACACGCAATGAGCTTCGTAAAAGGTTGTTTTTCTAGTAGTGACACTAAGGGGCCGAAGTGCTCTGAACTAAAAGTATACTTTAAAATATAAGTATTTTTCAAAAGTATACAAGAATACCTAAATGTCAGAGATCGTAACTTCGAGTAGAACAAAACATAAGTAATTGGGTGTTGTACGCTGCGGTTAAACCTGGGTAGTTATGTAGTCGTGTCTAGGGTCAATATAGCCTGATCAACTATATTCATTTGAGATACGGCCAACATGTGCTTGGGAGTGACTGTGGTGTGCAACATGCCTAAAACTTACCTAATATCCAAACAATGATTCATTGTTGCAGCAAAACATAAAATACTATGGGGGTATTTTAGCCAAAGCCAATTACATTGTAGAAATTCATTTCGAGTGTTGCTACTCATTCCTTCCTTAGAGATAGTTTATATTCTTTGATAACTCTTTCCTATTTTATCGCTTAATAGAACTTTATATCTGTCTTAATGACATATCTCTTTTTCCATATCTCTTGATTCAATTCAGAGGACTTATGATCCTCTCTTTCCTTGCTATTATAGATCAAGATGCCTTCAAAGAAATGACCCAGCTCAAGGAGCAACAATCCTCCTCCACCACCACCTCCCCCTCCATTTGATCCTGCCATGTTTCAAGCAGTTGTTACTATTGTTGTGGCTGCTGCCATGTCACAAATGAACCCTGGTGGTTCAGGCGGGCCAGGAGGTGGTACTCAGCCTCAAAACCTGGAGGGTAGTTAGGGACACCGGAAGGAGTCTTCCTACAAGTACTTTATGAACACGAAACCCACACCCTTCAATGGCACTGGAGGTGTCATTTCCCTAACTCAATGGTTCAAGAAAATAGAATCTATCTTTGAAATTTGTGCCTGTTCAGAAACTGATAAGGTGAAGTTCGCCGCCTGCACTTTCACCGACAAAGCCCTGACTTGGTGGAACAGCCGAGTCAAATCCTTAAGCCTACCTGTAGCCAATGCTATGGGTTGGGAGAACATGAAGAAGCATCTACTTCCTGAATACTACCCACGGGGAGAAATGTCGAAGCTGGAGCATGAACTCTGGAACCTAAAGATGAAGGGTTCCGATATCGCCACTTACATTTCCAGATTTGATGACTTGGCGCTTCTCTGTCCGGGAATGGTTACCCCGGAAAGAAAAAAGATAGAAAGATTCATCTGGGGGTTGACCCAGCCAACCAAGTGTAATGTTTTGGCTGCAAAGCCAGACACCTATGACAGCTCCAAATGCCTAGCGCAAACTTTGATTGATCATGGTGATGACATCGAGGAAGTGACCACTGCTTCTGAACCGGCTAAAGGGAACAGTGAAAATAAGAAAAGACCCTGGAGCAAACGGAAGATTCAGAGTTCACAAGGATCTTCCAAGAAGCAGCAAATTGTGGCAGTCCACGTTGCTACTACCCCCGTTACTGTTTCTGTCGCCGCTTCTACAGCCCAATGACCTACCAGTAGGTATGCTGGTACCCTTACCCGATGCGGCAAGTGTAACTTCCACCATAACCCCGGTCCATGTCATGAACTGTCATGCTCCAACTGTGGCAAAAAGGGGCACACGACACGAAGCTAGAAAGCCCCAACCCAATCAACAAATCAATCATCCGGAGCGGGTGTCGGACAGGCCTGTTATGGATGTTTTGAAGTCGGGAATTTCAAGACAAACTACCCCAAGGCAACAACAACTGGTAACACCGGGAGAGTCCTAGTTATGGGACGAGAGGAGGCGGTCGCCAATCCCACCGTTGTCCCGGGTATGTTCCTTCTCGACAACTCTTATGTTAGTATCCTTTTCGATTCTGGTGCTGAAAGAAGTCTTGTTAGCCATTCATTCAAATATCTACTTAAACATAATCCCCAACCATTAACCGGAACATTTACCGTCGAGATGGCCAATGGTGAGAAGGAGAACGCTAGCGATATATTCATAGGCTGTACCCTTACCCTGAACGATCATTCTTTTCCCATTGACCTAATGCCAGTTTCCATAAAGAGCTTTGATGTTATCATCGACATGGATTGGTTGAGTCCCAATCATGCAGATATCCTTTGTTACGAAAAATCCATCCATCTTAATCTCCCCTCTGGACAGACTCTTATGATCTACAACGATAAACTTAGTTCAAATCATCGCATCATATCTTGCATCAAAACTCAAAAGCTCCTGCGAAAGGAGTGTTATGCATTCCTAGCTCATGTCATCAACGAGAAACAGGAAGTTAAAGATCTCGACAACATCCCCAAAGTCTGCAACTTTCCTGATGTCTTTCCCAAAGAACTCCTCGGAATTCCTCTCGAACGTCAAGTCGAGTTTCGTATCGACCTAATCCCTGGAGCTAATCCAGTAGCCAAGTCTCCGTATCGCTTAGCTCTAGCATAAATGCGTGAGTTATCTAGTCAGCTTAATGATCTGCTTGACAAAGGGTTCATCAGACCGAGTTCCTCACCTTGGGGAGCCCTGATATTATTTGTGAAAAAGAAAGATGGATCCTTTCATCTGTGCATAGACTACCACGAGCTGAACAAACTGACCGTCAAAAACCGTTATCCTCTTCCTCGAATAGATGACCTCTTCGATCAACTTCAGGGAGCCAGTTACTTCTTGAAGATAGACCTCAGATCAGGGTACCATCAGCTTCGAGTTCACGAGAATGATGTTTCCAAGACAACATTCAGGACTCGATATGGTCACTACGAGTTCATAGTGATGCCCTTCGGTATAACCAATACACCGGTTGTGTTCACGAACCTGATGAACCAGGTGTGTCACCCCTTTCTGGACAAGTTCGCATCGTGTTCATTGATGACATACTTGTCTATTCCCGAAGCAAAGAAGATCACAAACAACACTTGAGATTAGTGTTGGAAACACTTAGAACAGAGAAGTTGTACGCGAAATTCTCCAAATGTGAATTCCGGATTCAGAAATTAGCTTTCCTTGGTCACGTGGAAAGCGAGGAAGGTATACACGTGGACCCGTCCAAAATCAAGGCGATAGAGAATTGGTCAGCACCAAAGACACCCACATAAATTCGTCAATTCTTGGGTCTCGTTGGCTACTATTGCAGGTTCATCCAAAAATTTTCTAGAATCGCCAAACCCCTAACTACTATGACACAGAAAGGTGTACCCTTTTGTTGGAGCGAAAAACAAGACACTACATTCCAAACATTGAAATGAGTACTGTGCAACTCGCCGATTCTATCCATGCCCGAAGGAACAGAGGATTTCGATGTCTTTTGCGATGCGTCTAATCAGGGCTTAGGCTGTGTGGTGATGCAGAGAGGAAAAGTTATCACTTATGCCTCGAGATAGATGAATGAACACAAAGTTAACTATACGACTCATGATTTGGAGCTAAGAGAAGTGGTCTTCGCACTAAAGATTTGGAGACATTATCTCTATGGAACTAAGTTCACAATCTTCACTGACCATAAAATCCTGCAGCACATCATCAATCAGAAAAGCTTAAACATGAGGCAACGGCGATGGGTAGAGCTGCTCTGTGACTATGAGTGAGAAATCCGCTACCATCTCGGCAAGGCCAATGTGGTAGCAGATGCCCTTAGCCGAAAGAAGAGTTCAAGTCGCAAGGCAAAGTCATTGTCGATGACCATCCATTCCCACTTATCTGTACAGATCTGAGAAGCCCAGTTAAAAGCCCATAAACTAGAGAACGTGTTGAATGAAGCCTTGAGGGGAATGGATAAGAAACTTGAGATCAGAAGTGACAGATTCTACTGTTTCATGGATAGAATTTGGACCCCAAAGTTCGGAGGTTTCAGAGAAGTTGTTATGAACGAAGCTCACAAGACCAAATAATCTGTTCACCCAGGTTCGGATAAGATGTAGCTGGATCCCAAGAAACAATACTGGTGGCCAAACATGAAAGCTGAAATCGCAACCTTCGTGGGCAAGTGTCTAACTTGTGCCAAGGTAAAGGTCGAGTATCAGAAGCCCTCGGGTCTACTCCAGCAGCCCAAGATACCTGAATGGAAATGGGAGATGATTACCATGGATTTCATCACCAAGTTACCCAGATCTCCGAGTGGGTACGATACCATTTGGGTAATTGCCGATCGTCTAACAATGTCCGCTCACTTCCTTCCGATTAAAGAATCATTCAAGATGGAAAGACTCATGTGAGTCTACATCCAAGAGATAGTCCGACTGCACAGTGTGCCTGTGTCCATTATCTCCGATCGAGACAACAGGTTTACCTCAAGGTTCTAGCAGTCCCTTCAGAAAGCTCTTGGAACCAAGCTGGACATGAGTCAAAATACCATCTTCAGATAGACGGACAGAGTGAGAGAACTATTCGAACCCTGGAGGACACTCATTTACCTTTGATCGAGTTCTTGTATAACAA